CAGCCAAACCCAACCTCAACTTCAACCCAAAGGCACTTCCCACACCTTCCCACTTCCCATTCGCATTGCATGCGTGCGTTTCAAGTGGCTGTTGCTGTTCTGGCCGGCTTCCTGTCGTAAATCCAAATGGAATTCGCTTTTGGCAACTCCCCTTCGGGCGCACAGGTACACCCGTCGTTTGGGCCACCCTTAATGAATACGACATTATTTTTTATGAGCTGTCAAACACTATTTTCCATACATTTCTTCTTTCCTTCGACTGCGACGCTTTTCACCCAACTCGTGAGGCTCATTCCAAGTTTCCTTTTGCCATTTTTATTTATCGCCCTTCGGAGTGTTGGTGTGTGTGTTTGGGAGGGGGTGTGAGTTCGCCCCGTGTGGTTGTGCGGTTATTGTTATTATTTATATTATTTTTGATAAATGTTTTTGGGAAATTTGTATTTTATTGGTTGTTTATCGACAATTAGCGGTTTTGTTTGCCGAGTTTCCTTTTGCATAATGTAAACATAATGTAAACATTCGTTTTCCTCTCACTTTTCCCTGCCCCCTGCCTTGTTGATTTATTTGCCAAAGTAGAAAAACAATAAGCAATATTCTCAAGGAGCTAGACGGAAGGAAAGTAGCAAACTTGAAGAGCAAATATCAATAAGGCTAAGGATGTTGTGAGTGGAAGTAATTAGTGTATAAAGAAAATGGAAAATCCAAAGAAAAACTGGCAGAAGACCGTAAACATTCTGCTGGGGCACATAAATAATAAACAGAAATACAATTTATTGTTCGGCCGGTAAAGAGAGCGAAAAGTCGAAAGCTAAAGGCCTCTTCATGCGGTTTTGCACTTTGGCGAAGGCATTAAAAAGTATGCAAAGTATATATATATATATATATATCGGGAAATGCACAGTGAGAAAGGGTGGAGGAGGAGGAGGTGAAGGGTTGGTGGTTGAGGAAAAAGCATCTGGAAATTTTGTTCACATGACGCACGCAGCTGCCGCGAAGTGAGAGATTTTGCTCTGCTTTGGCCATTTTCGTTTTTGGTATTTTTGCGCTTTTGTTTACATTTTGATTCAGCTATTTTGAGAAGCCATAAACAAAACAAAGGAAAACGTGCAGAAGCCCAAGGAAAAGCAGAAGACCAAAAAGGAAATCGGAGCTGGGGGAGAGTAAACTCGAAAGTCGAAAGTCGAAAGTCGAGAGAAATATCTAACTAATATATAGAGTATATAGACCATAGGAAACCTAATGAGCTGTGCAGCTTTTGAAGTTGCCTCATTACGGTGATCGAATTGAATGGAATCGAAAATCGATCGATAGTCAAATGGAAGACCCACAATTAAGGCAGGCAGCCATAGATAAGACCTGGCCTCATCGTGGCAGTGGCGGGGCGGGGTGGGATGGATGGACACGCTCGAGGGTGTGCGTTAATCACGCAAGTAATTCTAATGCCCGACCCTCGGTCCCTGCCCACATTGCGATAAGTTTTCCATCGCCCGAGGGTGAGTTTTACCCCCCCTTCTGCTTTCCAGCTTTCCCGCTAGCTGGCACACACACAAAGCATAATCAGCGCTGAACATGCCAAGCACAACAAAAGAAGCAAAAAACTGTTTGTTAAGGTTGTTGAGGGGTGCTCTCTGCTCTGCTCTCTCCCTGTTAACAAAGCTATAAAACTGTCACCTCTAATAATCAAGAAACTCAAATTAAGGCCCAGAGCAAAGACCAAGTCGCGTGCCCTTCGCTATAAGTAATAAAAAATTCAAATAATTTCAGGCATCCGTTGAGGAATTGAGAGCTAAGGAGGAGGGAAATTGATAGATAAAGATAATAAGAACTATTTTCATTAGGAATATAACATAAAGATACACTTTCTTTTTGACTTTACTAAAGAATTATAGATTATTCCCTAGGTAATTGCATTTTGTACTACCCATTAAGATCACATTGTACTTAATTCACTGAACACTAATTCCATTTCCTATTCCTAATCAATTTGTAGCACTTTCCCAACGTCTCTTAACCCTTTCAAAGTCTTCCTATGGAAATAGCTCTGCCTTCTTAGGTAGTATTTATGATTATTAGGCTGGGCAATTTGCCGACTTAAGCAATTACCAGGCAAAGCCAACAAAAGGCGTTGGCGCTTTTCAATATTTATACGCCTGTCACCCCCCAACCAGAACCCATCACCACACAGTTTGCCCCATCTAATGGTATGTAAATGCTTGACGGCTTACAAAACATTGAAGGGAAGTATAACAAAGGCGACCACAACCCGTTATTATTATTGTTGCATACGTCAAGGCGTTCTCGCTATGCGGTCTGTCTTGTTTTCCCAGCGACTTTTTGTTTCTTCTTCTTCTTCTTCTGCTTTGTTTTCTCAAGTAATTTGCAGTGGCATGTAATTTAATAGCACGTTGCATGTGAGTATGTGTGTGTGCTGTGTAGCTGTTGAATGCGCCCCCAGGTGGGCATTTTTTCTGGGTTGGGCCGTCAAAAGGTGTATTATGCCAGTGGCTGACAACCCAGAGACTCCTTTCCTTTCGGTCTCCTCAAGATTATTGGTTTCAAGGGTAAAATTATGAAATGAAGTGGAAAATTAAGTGTATGATTGTGCCAAGTGGCAAGTGGCAAGTGGCAAGAAAGCACCGTCAAAGGAGAGGCGATTAGGAGTGGTGTAAACGGTGTAAAGGTTGAAAGTGAAGATGAAGGGATATTGAAGGATGTTACTGAAGGTGAAGATGGCTAAGAAGAGAGCCAATCTTAATAGTTTTTATCTACAATATCAAACATATTTAAGCTGTAATGAAGATAAAATAAAATAAATATCAAATCAAATTAACTTTCTGCCTTTACGATGCCAAATTTGAAAGGTTTTTGCAAGCCAATCACTAAAAATGCTTTTATTTCGGGACATTCGCGTGTGAGGTTTTTTATTGGCTGTCCTTCACTCAAAAACCAGTCTACTTCGATGCTTTGCTTTCTCAAAAAAGAAAACTAACTTGCCAGCAAAGGATATAACTTCGTGTCTCTGAGTCATGGCCCAAAATGCAAGTACCACATTCGCTGGCTCGCTGGCAGTCGACAGAAGGAAAGGAAAAAAGGACCCCAAAAGAACTGTGTCAACGACTTTGCTCCACTTAACCATTTAACGAGCAAGTTGGCTAACACGTAATACCAAAAACAACAACAACAACAGCAAGAACTGAGCGGCAACAAAAGGATGTGGAAAAATTCAAAACAAGTGGCACAAAAATATTGAACAACAATAGAGGGAGCGCAGGATTGAGCAGGGAAGCAACAGAGAACGCATGTGTCATCATTAGAATAAGGAGAGAGTAAGGATAACGGAGGGCGGAGGGGAGAAGGACATTCGAACATCCCTGCCAAGGATAAAAGCAGACATACAAGTGGGTGGGCTAAGAGGGGAGAACAGGACGCACGCGGGACGCACGCACAAAGGACAACAAAGAACGCCGGCGACGTCATCTAACGCAGCAAGCAGCACGCAGAACGCACCACCCACCACCACCCTCTTCTGTGGTGCTCTGCCATAGTGCTGTGCAACCCCCAGCTACATCTATGCCCGATCCTAGACAGCCACCACCATAAAAGTGAAATACACAATGAAATTTACGCAATATCCCTCCCGAGTAACAGACTTTTCTGCGTTGGCGTTGTAATAAAATCAAAAAATAGAGAATATAGGATATAGAATGGAATGGAGGATAAGGGAAAAGAGGGTGACAACTGGAGCAACATCAACAACAACAACGACAACATATGATAAAGCAGTCAGCTGAAAGTGAAACACATAGCTATATATATATATATACTATATACATTAAGGGGGCGAAAGAGAGAGAGAGGGCCGAGCGTAGTTACTCAAAGCAACAGAAATAAATGTAAATCGGATTAGAATTTAAGTTTTCTTTTTTCCACAAAGCTGGTTGACAACTTTTCGGGCGAATCAAGAGACCGAAAGGCCGAAAGTGAATAAAAAAGTTGATAAATCAATATGTGGGTTAAAGACGCTGCCATATGGTTAAAGTGTATTATCAGGTATTGAAAATAAAAAGCCAGATAAAAGGATATCAGCAAAGCCCAATAAAAATAAATCATAATCTATGGTCGTTTGATTGAGAGATTTATGATCTTAATTATGGGAAAGATATAGATGTTTTTTTGGGTAATTCTTTAATTGCTACGCTAAACTAGGAGTGCTTTTGAATGAAATTCTGTCTTTGAATTTGTTGCTTTTGGGTACATTTTAAGCAGCTTTTAGGTTTTTTTGATATACGTTTTGTGTAAATCAAAGGCACTTTTTATTTTTTAACCTTTCAAGATAAACTCTGATATATATTCTTTAATAAAAAATCAGTTTAACTGCTTCAAAAATCAATAACTAAACACAATAAACGAAATTTCTACATTTCTTGTCTTTAATATTAATCTCCCTTCAAATCGTAGTCTACTTTTCGGACTCCCTGACATTTGTTTCTTCTGAAGGACACAAAACACTTTAAGCCGGGACCAATGGACTTGTAACAAAGGAGCGGAGATGTTGGTCATTGTGAAGATTGCGGTGTGTTAATGGCCAAGAGACGCAGACAGTCACATTGACCTACACTGATTTCGAATTTTCGCACAAAAAAATGTGACCGCAATCACCCACACACACTCATACGGACACTCACACAGACACATCGAATGATTAATTGTCAAAATATGTTGAGCAAAGCCAAAGGCAACAACCAAAAAAAAAATGGAAGGAAAATAAAGAGAGAGAGAGAGTGGAAAAGCGTCACAATAACATAATAAAAAGTGCGTTAGTGTGTGAGTGCGGCGATGTATGCATATGTATTTGTATTAAGTTGTCATTACGTGACTGCGGACAACAAGATTTATTATCATTTTGGGTAACGAATGTTGTCCACTCCCCCCTCCCCCCCTCATCCTGCGGGGCGTACAAAAAAAAAAAAATTCATTTGACTCTCGATTTTGATACTCACAGTAACTTGTTGAGCAAACTCAACCTTCGGCTGGCCGACCAATTCAATAATATGAACCATATGGAACGATTTGCTCTTGGACGTGGCGCCTTTGCGAGAAAAAATTGTTAACGATTTTCACCGATTCTGCTGGAAGCCTTTAAGTTTTCTTCCTCGGAAAATGGCCGTTGTTTATTTGTCTAAGTTTTTGTTTTGATTACTTTTAAGCACTTTTGTTTTCTGTAAGTTTTTTGTTTTTTGTTTTTTTTTTTTCACTTGAACTGCTGTCTTCTCTCTGTACTTGTTACTTATTGATTTGAATGTATTTTCGGTGTGGTGGTTGTTAGCCTGCTATAATGTGTGTATGGCTTAGTGTTTATAATAATTTATCTTATCTGTATTTTCCAGTATTTAAACACACGCGTCTATCTCTCTTCTCTAGCTTCCTTTCCTTCTCTATGATTTCTCTGCTCGTTTCTAAAAATCAAATTAAAATTTGTGTTCGCTGTAAGCATGGGTAATTCAATGATTTTTCCAAGTACAGTTGGCTTGAAAAATTTCCCTGGCTGTGAGTTTAATTGCTTGGAATTTAGGTGAACGGTGAGAATGGTGAACGGTGAGCACTGGGAAAATGGAAATAGAATCTACCGGAGTAAATATTTATCAATATATTTATTATTGTTGGCAAGGCAAATGATGTATCATTCGAAGCAATGTTTTAAAAACAAGAAAATGTGGAAATTTTCCAACTAGGTGAGAATAAATCTGAAAGAAAGTTATCACAGTGCAGCACATTAAATTTCCAAACACTTCACAGATTACCAGGCGAATAATTTCAAGCACTTAAAAGAAAATGTATAAAAAAAAATTATGAAATTTTCTTGGGTTAATATAAACCATTTCACATAGGTTCTAAATTCTAAAACTCCTCATCTGGAACCAGTAATATTTTTTAATAGTCACTCCAGAAATGAAAGCCACCTCCACCTCATTGGAATATCAAAAACTGGTGAAGCGTTTTACGACCATTTTAACACTCATCGAGAATCAGTAAAAATGATTTCAATTTTGGGCCAGAGAAAATAATTTACTGTAAATATGGGCCATTCGGCGGGCCACATCAAAGCGGCAGTAAAACATTTTAACCAACTGAAAAATATAGGAAATCGCTGGCCAAAGAAAGGCAAATCATGCTCTGTTGGCCAAAAATCATTAAGGCCAATGCATATTCAATTAACAGGGCCATCTATATGTATATATATATTGGTAGCTGCTAGGCACTGGCACTGGCAGTGGCAACAACTACACTTCGAATACAACAAAATACAGCAAAAACAAAAACAGATTTTTGGCGAAAAATGTTTTCAATGGGATCATCGAGTGTGCTGGAGAATTGGAATGCCATGGAGATGGAAACGAAATTATGGAATGCTCAATATATTCAAATTCGATGTGAGAAATGCTCTGCTTTGGTTTTCGGTTTTCGGTTTTCAGTTTTCGGTTTTTTTTTTTTGATTTTTCGATTTGGTTTGCTTTAGTTTGGCTGGCTTTTTGGGCAACGAAATTTTAATTGAAAATGTTTTCGTGTGCTGCGAGCGTGAAACAATTTTCCCTCGTTCACTCGTTCGTTTGTTTATCTAGGCAAATTGAAAAAAATATACATCGAGTATAAAACAGAGCGTGGAAAAATATATCCCAAAAAGTAAAGTCCGAGGGAAAGAAAAAAGAGCGGAAAAACTGCCTGATCGGCAATTTGGGTTTCCTCTCGCACATTCTCTGTCCAGTGCTATTTGGAAATTTTGTTGTTTACAAATTGTTTCTAATTATTTTGGGGTTTGTTTATCATGGCAGTGTCGGTCTATTTCTGGAGCTAATGTTAATGATGCCGATGAAGAGAGAGATTCAACAGAAATCGAGTTCTAATGAGTGAGTAGAATCTATGGGAAATGCTTTTGTTTTGGGAGCTTAAGTTCAGGATGATCTTAGTGGTAAAATTGCCCTTGCTTACAGATTTAACAGTTATATATATTTTATTTTATAATTTATTTTAAGGGTTTTTTGAATTAGTTGTAGTTTGTGTTTTGGAGGGGATTTTGAGTAAACGAATTTTGTAAACTTTGTTTTGCGATTTTTGGTGGCGAATTTGATTTGATTAAATTTTTTTGTTATATATTTGTAATATATATTTTTGAAGCGAATTTGAATTTTTAATTTGAATTGATTTTGGTTTTGTTTTGTTTTTATTTTTCCTTTTGGTATTATTTATATTGAATATTCGTAATTTGTATTATCGCTGTGTTTCAATATGCGTTTCTGAATTGAAGAACAAATGTCACACGACAGTCGACGAGAACTATACGAAATATTCCGACTTAACTACACAGAACTCAATATCATACTGAAAAAGGACGGCGCTTACAACGGTGTCCAGAGCCCCCAAATATCCGAACCGAACCCGAACATATCCATCGTCCGAACCCGAATCGGACCGAACTTACGCCCACCCGACCAATTCGAACCAGCGAACGCAACAGCCCAACACACGCCGGCAAAACAACAACGCACGTTCTCGTCCTCGTCCGAGGTGTGTGGATGATAGAGGGTGGTCGCGTGGTCGCGTGGTCCCACCCCCACGACCATTCGGCTCTTTTGCCGAACGTTGGATCGAACATGTTTGGTATCGAACCGGTTATAGTTCCGAACCGAAATTTCGTATGCTCTACGAGATCCCGGTTAGGTTTGAACCCTTGACTTCCACTGATAATGGTTAGCTTGTTGCTTGTGAGTTTCTATAAAGCAGAAGTTCTGATAGTGTGCCCTAACTATAACCTAACCACCCCCTGGTAATAAAGATCCAATCGTAGTAATGCCGAAGAAGAAACCCTCTAGAAACATAATAAAAACACAACCAAAATCACACCGAATAGCGGCACTCTGGCTGAAGCGGCAGAAGCAGCAGCAGCAGCAGCAGGCTGGAAAACCCAACAAGGCCTAAAGGGAAAATCCCCGAACTGTAGAAATCGTGACTCGTGTTAGCCGATTCACGCGCAGGCGAGGCTCTCTCGTTAGCGCCCTCTCGTTCTCGCTCTCCAGACCCCGCCATGGACACATGCCATTCGTGCGAAAGGGACGGCCAGTCGGTTAGTTTTGGGCCCTAGATATGTAAGGTGTCTTGTGTAGTGGAGCGGAGTGCATCTGAGTGGGAGAGCGCGAGAGCCATGTGCCGGGCTTACTGGCTGGTTGTCTGCCCGCCGTTTGTAGGGGGCCATCCATATGGGATGAAAGGTGGGCCATGTTGTGTGTTGGTGACATGGTGTGGGTGGTAGTATACTATCCATGGGTGTTATGATGAGCGGGTTGTTGGGCTGGGAGATTCGCACGAAAAACATGTGCGTTTCACTGCCCCTCTTTTCGCTCTTTCGATGAACTCGAGGCGAACTTGTTTTTGCATTTTCTGTTTTGACTGGAAGTCCTCATCATTGCGATGATAATTTTCTGTTGAATATTTATGAAACACATGACTCACAATGTGATTAAGGCTGCCGTCGCCGACGCCGCCACCGCCGCCGCCGCCTCCTTGAGGTCCCACCAAACGGCATAAACACACACAACGTGGCTGGAAAGTTACGCCAATAAGAGCAGCGAAGAGAGAGTTCTTCCGCTTCGATGTAAGAGAATCCTTTTTTGTCGAAGAGCAAATAGAGCTCACTCACACTAGCACGCCATTCACCGAAAATGTTGGCAAATTCATCATCATGAGCTTGATATTGTTGATGACGACGCACGAAGACAGGAAGAAATTAATATGCGAAACGCAACAATTTTTGCCAACTACAACATCAACAACAACAATAACAACAACAACATGGGCAGATGGTAGAACACTTTTTTAGTATGGCTCAGAGCCGGCAAAAATAACAGCAACAAGGAAAACATCTGCGAGGCATTGAATAATGCCAGCCAAGTTTTTGGGGCGCGGCTTGTTGTGCTTTTTTCTCGGGGGTTTCCCCTTATGGCCGAGACACAGTTTTTGGCTTACACACCGAAACGGTTAAGGGCTGTGATTGATTTCCCAAGGTAATTTTTTGAAAATAAGGCTACTTAGCAAAAGTGATTCGCTTGTGAAATGGTTTATAGTGATTAGGATTCATTAAAGCAAAACGCTTTTTTCTACTCTTTGAAAAAGTTAGAATATGAAAAGTTGAGAAAAGGCATTTACAGTGAAGGAGTTTGGTAAATATATAAACGATAAATTGCGAAAGAAAGTCTGTTAATGGAAGAAAGTTTGGCATAAAAGCAAACATAATCGGTAAATGCCGATTTCTAAAGCTTTTAGCTTAAATTTTCTAAATTGTTATCCTAATCCCATTGGCCAGGTCGGTTAATCCGCTAGCTAATATGCCAAAATCCATTAATAGTCAGCTCAATTCAGTCGAGTTCAGTACGGTTGAGTTCAGTCAGTCATTCATTCAAGCTGCTAACAATCTCCGCCCTTGACAGACTCAGAAACCTAACAACCTGCCAAAGCAGCAATGAATGTCGTCTACTCAGTTGCCTGTCCATCTGGCCCCCGCCTCACGACGCTCCCTCCTGCCCCAACTTTTCTTTTACCAAACCCATCAACCCACCCACCACCCCGCATAGATCAACCAACCACCCAACCAACCCACCGGCACTCCATTCAAGCGTTATTATTGTAGCTAGCTGTTATTCTTTTTCCCTACTATTTTTGCTACGCGCTTTTTGCTCTCGTTTCTTTGGGTGCGTGGGTGTCTGTTTCTATCTCTGTCTCGATGTATTTGTGTGTCACTAGGATACGCAAAAGCATCACGCGCCACAGCCACCCATTCAGCCGCCTCCTAACCCCCGCCTAAAACAACCACTAGAGCAGATTCGGAACCGGAGCTTCAGGGGACCCGCGTCAGGACCTCATCCCCATACCACGCGGCTAGCAGCGTGGCGCGCGCGTTGTCTTGGAGTTTTTCAATTTGATATGCTCGACCGATTTTCACTCATTTCAAGCGCGGGACAACGTTGTCAGCATCGTCAGTCCGCCGCCGCTGTTGTTGTTATTATTGTTTCTCCGCGTTGCGCTTGTCGTCGCCAATTTATCGCATTTTTACTTTGATTTTGCGTTAATTTTTGGACAGCAACAGCCGCTCCTCCGCTGAGAGGCTCTCCGCTGTCCGTCGTCCGAGTTTGCTGTGTATTTAGCGCTAAATGGTGTGTTGATATTTTCGCTTTTTTTTTCTTTCTTTCTTCTGTTCATGCCGCCAGGCTTGGCTTGGAATCCAGGACCCCCGGAGGCAGTCAAGTGTTAAGGCATATAATCAGTGTCAAGATGGCGGCGATGATATGAAATCAATTTTACAAGCAGAGGAAGCTAGTTGATGGAATGCTATGCCCAAAGCTGACAGCGGAATTCTTAGCGATTCTCCACAACAAGTTGTTAAGTTGGGAGAGTTGGTATAAATTAGATATGCAGGGATTTCATTTTTCAAGATTTACTTTTCAGAATTTAAGCAAAAGATTGCTGAAAGTTACTTTAGGGTAAGCTTTCATAGGGTAAGCCTTCATAAGAAGGTGATGTTCATATTCCAGCAGTAATTTTCTTCCACTAGAATTTACTTTTCACATATTTTTAAATCAGAAAACTTTAAGCTAAGAACTTTAATCTGTATTTCTTATTAAGATATCATCTTCTTCGACTAGATATAAAGATTAAACAGCTAGTTGGCTTGTCATTAACTTATTATAATAAAAAGAAAATAAAGTAGGTGAAAACATAATCGTTAAAGCAGCCATGATAACTACGTTCTTAAAAGTGGAATTTTACGTATCGGTTATGAAACGGAAGTCAACCGGTTATGGGCCAAAGACACTCAACTTGCCGCTCTTAACATATTTTCAGCCTGGTTATGCCCAGGAACTTAGCCGTACGACATTATTAAATCCTGAAATGGCAATAAATTCAATAAAACGAAAAATCACCAATGATTTTTCTGCCATTTACTTGGGCTTTATGCAGTTGGACATTATCTGACACTCCCCACGCCCCCCATATACACACTTACACACACACCGCCGCCCACATACCCACTTACAACGAGTCAATGTCATTTGGATTTTACATCTTCTATACGTACAACAAGTCGTTAGGCCGAGTCCGGGCACTCAGCTCCAGAGCCATTGCCTTTATGCATCAACGAGCACACAAAAGTGGAGCTCTTCCCCTCCTCCCACCCCATCCACATGGTCGATATTTATGCGAAAATCAAGCGATAAATCTAAATTATATGCCAGTGCTAAAGCTAATGCCGGAGCAGCCATGACGGGGCAGCCTTGGCTCCTGATCCCGGCACCATCTCGAGCTCTTCATAGCCCATCCCCCCATAGCCGAAACCCATCCTCATACTCCCATTCAAGAAGTGTATTATTATGATGATTAGGCATCCTTCGAATGGCCTAATTAAAAACGAAACGAGAGGCGATGCTGATAGATTTTGATTATCATATAATTAGGAGAACTTTCCTGAGCGCCTCTGCCAGATTTGTCATCATCCATCAGGAGCAAGGAAAGGTCACCGAACGGTAGACTTTTCCAGATGCCTGTCAAAAGTTGGCGCCGAACCGAAACTGAATGTCCTGTCATACATGTCGCAAAATTTCATTACGACTGCTAACCAATCCTAGTGCTGTGTCGTCAAGTTTTCGTTACGCTGTCAGCCGTAGGGGTCAGAGGGCACGACAGCAAAGCACAGCATATCCCAGGCATCAGCAGAAACTCTCTGCGGTCGAAAATTAATGAAAATTTCATAAACTGACGGGGCCTATGTATATATCTATCTCAGCAACAGAAGCCATCGCAGTGTTTGCGGTTTGCCATCATAACTTAATTAACAGCCGCACAGCCCCGTACCCTAGGCCAATATCCCAATCCCAACAGTCAGTCCAACTCCAATCCAATCCGGTCCAAATCCCACCCCAACGTTGACCCTACGAGCGAGCGCATGTCCCCCGGAGCACTGATAGATACTTGGGCATGATTCGCTGTCATCCCCTGCTTTGCATCTGACCCATCTAGGGCTGATCAAGTTATAAATAGTATTTCATATTTCACTACCAACGCTCGACCCAAAGAACTATGTCAAAGTAGCATATGTTGATGGGTGTAACGTAAGGGGGTTGGGTGGATGGTGGATTAAAGGCCGACCAAGCAGCGGCAGCCCGACAACCCTTTCGAGACCCTTGGGGCAACAGCAACAGAAACTTAAGGGCGGCGCGACGGCACACCAACCAACCAGCTCACGTACTCATAATAATATTTCACTTTGGTCCCACAGAAGAAGGTTTCCGCTTCCCTTGGCTTTTTTGGTTCTGGTCTCTGGTCTCTGGTCTGTGTTGATAAAT